CACTGAATAAAAATATAAAGAATTACCGCTGTGTGTATAAGTGCGTGTATCCATGATATCATAATTCGTTAGAAAGGGGAACAACTTGTTCCTTCTTTTTATACTATTCACGCTTGTACAAGAAATATGATGTAGCGAGTACGAGATAAATGAAGAAAAACCTATCGTTTTAAAGACCCCTGAATGTATAAAGAACATGTTAAGCATTACATTTCTACTCAATTTGTACTCCCATCTATTCTGTTAATGTGTTTTTGGTCGAGTACGTTCTTGAACAAATTTTTTCGATTTAACAGTCTAAGAAATTTATAAAATCTTATTATAATTCATGTTCTGCCTTGTTTCTACGAGAATTACAAATAGTAAGGATATAACTGGATTATCGTTTTGCACGATACTTTGTATCTGCATTTTCTCTTCTTTACTCCACTCTGTAAGGTATAAACATAACAGCGAAAACCATTCATATACAATCGTTAAGTAATATCGTGTAAATGTGTATTTCATCCGCAGAAATGAAATGCACATTTCAGATGTATCGTTTCTATGAAAAAAAAATGCATGGTAACGTGGTATTTACAGATGTTCAAGAAAAATCGTTAAAAAATGCATATAATGTGCTTTTATGGTAAATAATAAAAAATTAGGCTTCCTACGGCGACAATGAGAATACGCGACTTTTAATAAGTGTTCCGCTCAAAAGAGAGAGAGAGAGAGAGAGAGAGAGAGAGAGAGAGAGAGAGGATGAAAGGATGAAACGAATAGAAATTTATAATAATGTAACAGTGATCGAAAAGAAATGGAATATTTGTAGATTGAAGTATTTGTTTGAATCTTAGTTACGTATCAGGTTATTTACGTAGACTACAAGAAGAGTTGAGTATGCGCACGAGTATCTGAAATTTTGGCAATCTTCCCTGAGCGTACTAACTTTACAAAACTAGGATATATCATGGATGGTTTCTGAACCAACTATTTAAAACTTAAAGTACACAAGATCGACTATCAATTTGTTTTGCGATAAATATTTAAGTAATTTGTTAAGTACCTAATGCCATGATAGCATTGTATGTCATAGAGGTTTTTCCTGCTCTTCGTTGTTTGTTACCTGCAATGCCAACGTCGACGACGTGTTTGAACACCGCCGACTATTCCCCGAACGTTAAGAGTCTTCTTGCTTAGGCAGGAGATTCGTTCTCTCTTCATCTTCGATTAACTTTTTTGTGGACACAACTCTGTTTCCTTCTTGACGGGCAAGAATCTCTGTATCTAAATCTAACTTGGGCTGTCCTTGACCTGGACTTGTTACTACCGTTGCCTGAAACATACGTGCCTTGACATCATCTTTGAAATGCAGAAATAGTGGAATTTCGATAAAAAGCGAAGAAAAAGAAAAGTAACCTTTGCAGGTGAATTTTTAAGTTTGCCATTATGATCGCTGTATGATGAAATGAATTTCGAATGGGTAACTGGGCTAGCGCTAACTGGAGCGGGTGAAGTTGGAGCAGTTGCACTATGAACAGGAGATTGCACGCCGCTTTTTTCCTTTTCCTTTTCCTTTTTACTTTCTTTTTCTTTGTCGATCTGTAACACCGGAGATTCTGGCACGCTGCGATCATCCTCGTCCAAAGAATGCAATAACTAAAATCATTACATATATAGCAATTCCATCGTATTCTTATAAACTGTAATTAGATGTAAAATTCATTTCGTGCAATTTACCTTTTCTATTTCGTCTTCAAATTGTTCCTGACCAGGTAATGAATCCTTTTGGCTTCTTTCCAGAAGCGTGGCTCGTTTAGCAGCCAGGTATAAGGATCTTTTAATCTTAACATAAAATACTTCCGATACCGCCCGCACTGTATAATCGGGAATAAATGTATACCGTAACATAGAATCTAGATTGATCGATTGTATGCTTCCCACTGTTTGAGGGTTTGTATTCGTAGGTGATTCGGCTGTAAAAAGTTCAGCACATAAGTGTGTAAAACTTACCGAAGCTTGGCTTAAACATATAGGCAAACTTAATATAGATGTTACCGATTCCAACATTCACAGTAAGTGCCTGAGAACCAAAGTATGTAAATGGGCCGGTTTCGAACATCATATTCTCTTTTCCAACTGTAACTTCAACCCGCCCTTCTAAGATTAAAACGAAATAGTCAACCGCTTTTCCTTGCTGATAAATTACCGCTACTGGATCATTTCTTGCCTTTTCGCGTGATTTCACTTTGATGTGATAAATAATATCTTGTTTAAGTAAACGACGCAAAATAGTTTCCGATATTGTATCGGGCTTAAAAGCATCTACAGCTGTGGATCATACATTAGACTCAGATACATTTTAAGAGTACTACAATAGGATTTTATATAAATCTGATATTTTTTTAAATCAAAACACTTCTTCCTACTTGTAGACAAGTATTGAAACATGGCCAGAGTCAATTGCGGTGATATATGAATTCGTTGGTTTTCTTTCTTCTCTGCGAACACGGTAAAGTCTTGTATTTTGTGCTTAGCTTGCCTTCTGCGTTTAGTTTTATTATCCGCTGTAAGAAGACATATTTAACATTAGTTACAATTTAAATACCTACGATATAGATAATGGATTTTACATGAAGAATCTTACTAAAGACATCAGTTTCATCCATGATCTCAGCTTGAATTAATTCTTCTATAACATCTTCTAATGTAACCAATCCAATTACTTCGTAAAACGGGTCTCCCTCGCCTTCGTTATTAACTCTTTGTACAAATGCCATGTGACCCTTATGACCTAAAACAAATGCATTTCTTTATTGTGTGCCCACTTTTAAGGGATAAATTAAACCGTTTAACAGTTAAAATCGCAGCAAAGATATTAACCTTCTTTAAATTGTTTAAACATAATATCTAATGTAACATCTTCAAAAATAAAGTTGCATGGATTTTGATAAAATTGACATAAAGTTTTTAGTGGCATGTTATCATCTGGATCAACAAATGCAAGATCTTTAATATAAAGCATCGTTACTATATTTGTTCTTGTTCCTTCGTATACTGGTATACGGGAAAAACCTAAAAATTCATATCAATTATTATATTAAATTTCATATCGATTAATCACTATTATCAGGAATAACATTATTTTATTAATAAACATTTAAATAATACAAAGTGCAAACCTGACTTCATAATTTCTGATACTGTTTCAAAATCTAAAACAGCACTATAATTTAACATATATACATCTTCGATTTTTGTCATTATGTCTGCGACGGTTTTTTTTCGCAATTCTAATGCTCCAGCAATAATGTTCACCTCATCCTTCTCTAAGTCGTTATATCCTGTAGTCACCTATAAATAATAGCATTAACGTAATTATGCCGTCATACACGTTTTGATCATTAAATGTTTCGATCTTTAATGATATCATTAGCTTATATAGGTATATTACCCAATCAAAAATTAATTGGTATTAATTATATAAGTTACTTTCCTTTATAGTAACATATATATAAATCTATGTATGTATGCGAATACATGTATATTATAGAAGTACATTTTGAAGATAAGTCCAGTTTAAATTAGCACAGTATAAGTGTGTAAAATTATCTTATTTAAGTTTCACAATGATAAGTAATCTAACATATACTCTTGAGAATGTAAAAACTTGAAGCAAACGTCAGTAGATCTATATCTTACCTACATATGATTGAATTTAGATGTCAGTATAATTATCTGCCCTATCCATGCTCATTCTGATAAGATTCATAACAGTAAAAAGTTTGGAAAGGCATTCGATAATATACACTTTAAATTACAAATAAAGAAAACTATATTAGGTATATACTGTGAAAGTAATAAACTAATTTTTCATTCACTTTTTACCTTCACTAGTTCTTTTAACCGTTCACGGTTATACACATTGCCAATTTCTTCTCCGAGAAGAATATCTAAAAGTTTACTAATAGGATAACTCAATGGAAATGTTATTATCATGGTAAATTTTGTGACATAAATAGTTTTTGCTCCAATACACAATCCATGTCTGCTACAAATAGCCTAAAAATATAAGACAACTTATTTGTTTGATAAGCTAACACTATAAATTGTGTTTTAATGTTTCTGTTCAACAGTATATACTTTTATGAATACACATACCTGTGGAGAAATTTCACCAAAAAGTACAATAGCCAAAGTAGAGCAAATAACAGCAACTAATCCAGAAGTTAAGTCATCCAACAAAATAGTGAATATCGAATTCACCAAAACATTTGAGAATAAAATGGAGCATAACAAATAATTTCCATGATTTCTCACTGGTTGTATTGTTCTGGCATATTGTTTTTCCTTTAATGCATAAGTTATTAAATAATGACGATTGAACCGTTATAAAATTACAAATATTCTATTAAATTTATGTATGAGAAACAAAATTACCTTCTCTGTACCAGTATTACAAAGTATCTTCAACTCAGTTCTATCCATAGCCATTAATCCTAAATTCAGCCCAGAAAATAGAGCAGAGAAACTCAAACACATCAGAATAACTACAATACTAAGCCAAAGTGGTAAAAATTTCTCATATGTGTATATCTGTAAAAATGTACCTCTGATAAATATTTTAATGCAATTTCTATCAATATAATACACAGCACAAAACATTACTTACAGTACTCCATGATGCAGTGCCTTGATGTTTAAAGAGTAAAAGATTTGGACCATCCTGTCCATATACTGGTTGTTTTACACATATGAAAAATGGTGAACCCAGAGGTAATACCACATCAATAGTTGCAGTATTGTTCTTTACATTTTTTACCTACAGCAATCACATTTTAAATAAAAAGAAAAAAAAAGAAAGAAAGAAAGAAAGAAAAAAGAGAAAAAGGAAAAAGAAAAAAATAGTGCAAGTGCTTACTAGAAATTCGTTGCTTTTAATTTTATCACAAATACTACCCCTCTTTGCTGGTTCATCTGTGAAACTAATCAAAGTATCTTCTGTAAAACCAAAACCAAATAATCTTATAACTGCCCTGCTTCCAGCAAGTATTTCTGGAATACCATCATCTCTGTAACTAGGATCCTTGTCTGATGTCTCTATTCTCAGACCCTCAATAAACACATCTTTATAATTTTGCTGAGTCCATAGATTTTCAGGGTCATCATTGACAGTGGCTAATGAATTGGCACGACGCATACGAAAATATTTTCTGAGAATAATTAATATAAAAAACCAATTAAATTAATATTTAGCTAAAGAAAGAGAATAAAAAAATTAATAGAATCAAGTACAAGAAGTTTTATATAAAATACCTTACAGTTTATATGTTTAATATATAAAGAGTAAGACAAAGGAAAATTAAAATGAAAGAAACTTATTTATTATTCATTTGATCCTTTAATCAACCAATTAAGTAAAGTTGTTTCCATTACAATGTTTTTCATATAACAATACCAAAAATCAAATAAAGAAAGTTCTCTCATAATATTAGAATGTAACAAAAAAATTATATTAAATACGCATAATTATAATATTATAGAACAACTTCCTTGCTGTCGATAATATCGGGATTTTCACCTTGTTAAAAAAATGGTACCATGTCATATGATAAATGTCAATTACTTTTAAGGGAAGAGAATTTTCTTTTATGATGCTCGGATAAAAGCAAGTTATCTAATATTTAACTTACTCCGATGGTACTGGGGCCCTGATAGTAAAATTGCTTCCAAGATTGGTCCATGTTTCACCAAACCTGCTGACGATTCTCAGACAGAAATAGATCGTGGTAACCTTAAAATTAGGAACTTCTACAAACTTATATATCGCACGACTACCATTCGATGCGATCCAAATTGCACTTAATTTATTTTTTGGATCACAATTGTCGAATGTAGGTGACCAGCGTAACGAAACGTTATTTTCGAGGCCGGTCCCGAGAACTTCGACTAGGAAACTTGAGCTAATGGATACGTTCTCTCGCGTGTGAGAAAGTTTTGTAATTACGGCGTCCACTGATTTCACATTCAAATTATCAGTTACTTTTAGTTTTTTAAACGCATTACCGTTTATAAAGTTGGATTGAAGAAAAACAAGTAACAAAAGCGCTGCCGGTATGCTTAAGCAGACAACATGTTGCGCCATCATGCGACAAGTACACCGTGACAACTTCACACGGTCCTCAGGTAGTGCTGCATTTATAATCTCGCATTCTCTCACTACGCCTGCGTATTATGTACATAAGTACATACAGTGGAAAATGCATCCTTTCCGTTATTCGACATGGTATTATTTCCTTTGATAGTGGGGAGTGCTTGACTCAAATTCGACAATGCACTTACATTTCACTAATTCGCGTTACAAATTATTTAGATTGGTTTAGTCATTGATATTCCTTCTAATGTATGTTATTTAATATTGTATTTTAAAAATAAATCCTTTGCAACTAAGCAAAATATTATTGCTTTTTTCTAGATGTATACTTTGTTCTTTTTTAGTCAATTACAATATTATTAGATATAAAGTGTAGTGAATTTATACAATTTAATTTTCTTTACTCTCATAGCTGTCCAATAGAAATCAATTTTATTCCGACTTAATTCTTTGCTACATATGATTGGTAGACATAATATTGTTTAACCCTAATGCGTTCTTCCATTCGAATTATGTATACACTTAAGGTGGTTGAGTCAAAAAAGACCCAAAGATCTTATGTGTAACAATTTTCATTAACAGCACGCCATATGAACCTAGACAATAAACTTTTAATATAATCTTAAGGGAACATAAATTTGATAACAGCAAAAGTTATTAAAAAAAGTAAAAAAGTAATGGGTCAAAAAAGACACGAAGACCGCAATAGGGTTAAAGAGAACCGTTCAGTTCGGGCGGGAATCGGTAAACGGTTTATGCGCGTGTGCAACGTAGAACTTCCAATCGGTGCATGACAGTTTTGTGAATTTTGGCGCTACTTCAAAGTTACATTGCATTTGAAGATTTATTTTATTTTTGCTCGACAAAATGTCAACTAGTTAGTACCGTTTGATAAGTTAAAATTATTTAATATTATTTATAACCCACAGAGGTTATATTGAAATATCGATGTGTTAACATTGTACAAAAAACATATCAATTTTTCTAATGTTTTAGTTCGAACTAAGATTTCGACGACTGCATTTATTCAACAAGAAATAGTTAAAATTATTAAGAGATTTAAATTTGAGGAATTAGAAACATCGATAATGCCAATTTTTCCAGAAATATCATGGAGTAATGTAAGATATGAACTAGTAAAAAGTCGCAGTAAATTTTCATCAGCTAATGTAGCACAACTTATTAAAATAGCTACAACTGTAAGTTTTATGGCTAGATACATTATAACCTTGTTAATATTATTTATTGTTATAGTTTATATATATTTTATTTTTCTTCCACCAGGAAGCCAATGTTCAAGCAAAGGTTTTAAAGGATCGTTTGTCAACATTGCAATTAATTGGTAATACATATTAATTTGTTGTTCTTTTTATTTCTTTTGTGGATTGATAATAAAATTCATACATTCCAGATGTAAGTTGGCACAGTAAACGAAAAATTTGGTGTGCTTACACGCTAATAGGTTTTAATAAATCTGCAAATTACATCACAAACAGAGAACTTAGAAATGAAATACAAAATTATTTGGACTCATTAGATATTAAAGTCAATGTAAAACTAAATACACACAATGGTATTACATATATCTCTGTAACAAAGGAAAAATATGGAATCAAGAAAAGGGAAACTTTCTTTTTTGCTTTATTTATGGACCAGAAGTATTTATTTTGCCCTAAGAACAATGTTTCATCCAATATTTTGAGTGGCATAGTAAGAAGTTTGGGCTACAAAGATTTTAAAAGATTTAAATTAGAAGGTAAAGATCTTGAATCACTGAGCAAATTGTGTTGGCAAAAGAAAGAAGGAGCGATAAACCTTGAAAATATTAATCAAACCTTTGTGTACAAAGATGCTGCACCTGAGAAAAGGTAATGTTTCTTTTAATTTTAAAAAAAAAAAAAAATAGGAAACTTAAGAACATCAAAAAGTATTGTTTATCATATGATACATTTTTCAGGAAGGCAGGTATAGATTTTACTCAACAGAAACAAAGAAAAAGATACATGGAGAAATGTTTTGGTGCAAATTCTCCTACTTTAGAGTTACTTGTGATAAATGCACCAAGTATGCCTGTGATAGATAAAGATGTATCAACAAATTTATCAAATGAAAATATTCGCGCAACGTAAATATCTTTTGTATAAAATCATAATATATTTTAATGCTTTATATCTTTATAAGAATTCTAATTTTATGTGTTTCAGATGGGAATTTCGTAGTCAGAATATTGCCACATATTTAACAAAATTGGTAGAACGACGTATTCTGATTACACCTGTGCCTGATTATATATCAAATCTAATGATATTAGGGAAAAATCGATTAACACTTCAAAGAGATCAATGATCGATATTTTAATGACACGTAATACTAATATATAGCTAATAATGCAGTCAAAGTTTGCTTATTATTGTAGTGATTACATAATTTTTTTAATTTTGAGAGACAAATCGGTAAAAATTGTTATCGTGATATTTAAAACTCTAGTTTTTAACTCTTTTAACTCTTTTAAAAACACTTTAAAATTGACTAATACTTTTAAAACATAAGTTTAATTTTGTATAAATTTTATTAATTAATCAGAAAAAAGTACTCGATGCACGAATATTTTTAATTATATATACATTGTCGACATCAAACTTTAAATGTCTTAAGTACCACATTATCAAAGTATAGGAACATTGGTTGTTACTGTGGTAATATAAAGATAATAATATATCATATTTATTAGTAATTGTTCCTGCAATAATGTGTTAATTTCACAGTTTCTAACAATTAGTTGTTAGAAGTGATGAATTGATAAGAGGGTTCCATTTGTAGATAGTATGAATCACATGCTTAACATCTATGACTTAACTAGCAATATTATAAGTTAATAATACAATTATATTACTCATAGTATAAATGCAGGTAAATTATATAGTGTATACACTGCAACATGTATGAATATTAGAAAATTCATTTATAAGCATGTGTATTATAGAAATTAATATTCTCCGCTGGACATATCATCGTCTATTTCATCTTCCGATGTTACATCTGGATCGTTAGCTTGCGATAAACATTTATTACAATAACAATGAAACAAATATAAAGAACTGAAAGCTTTTTGTCGAGAATGTCTACTTCTTTCTAGACAACATTCATCAAGGTAACTTATACATATTTCCTCTTCAGGATGAATGTCACGTATTGCTTTTAAAACTAATACATTATTTGAGTAAGGAAATTCTACAACAGCATTTGGTACACAACTGTGATTTACTGCAGACTGAAGAACATAAAGGCCAGAACCTTCATTGTTTAAGAAAAAATCAACCGCTGAAAAACATAAAATTGCTAGTGAAATAAAATTAATATTGTTACAATTCGTGTTAAATATTTTAATTCTAGAAAATTTACCCTCTTCCATATCGTGATAAACTCGATCTATTAGTTTGTCTACTTGAATTCTTTCTTCTCTTGGCAATTCTAGAGCAGATACATTTTTCACCCAACGACTAAATGCACTAGTTCCAATTCCTTGACCATTTGTACCTACTAAAGCTAGTAGACTTTTAAAGCCTTCTGGTGTAAACCACTGTAAATTAGAATTTCTATTTCTAATGTATTCTATGATATCAAGTGTTTTCATTATTTATATTACATACATGTTCCGTAAACTCTGTATTTACAGCTTTCAGTATGTTTCGCCTAAGCATATCAATTTGACCAATAAATTTTTCTCCCAATAATTTGTGTGCAATCTCATCTGTATCATTAACTGTACGGTGACAAAACTGAGAGAAAGTTGAAAGGATATCCTCTTTGTTATTGGCTTGATTAACTAGAGCTACCATTTTTACTAATAACATTACTGTTGCTGATTCTGGTGGATAATGCATTTGCTTCCACATTTCATTTAATTGCACCAAAGGATGAGACTCATCCTTTTCTCTTGAATGTAAGCACAGTATACCATGATACCTAAAATGTTCACACTATACAATTATATTATTCAATTAATATTGATAATAAATGTTTAAAATTAAAATACAACCTTAGAGAAGCTTCATTTAGGCATTCAATACTACAATACTTTGTGCCACATTCAGGACATTCTGTAATTAAATCTTTTTTTGTTTCGCAGCATTCTGGATGAGGTAAAATAATGGTGGACTTTCCAGTCAATCTACGTACATTTTCTTCTGCAGTTTCTAAAGGTCTTAAACAATGGTCACAAGCTAAGTATCTATACTCTAAATTCCATGCAAATTGGCAACAAATTATAGGTTTTTCTTCAAAAATTGTATCCCCATCTTTGAATGGACGAATAGCAACAAGACCCTTGCCCTATAACACATTTACAAATGTTTTCTTTTTAACAATAATCTATTAATAAATATAAAAGCGAGTGTTAAGTTAATAATTGAATATGTTTAGAAATGCATACTAAATATTTATTCTAATGTAAAATAATAATAGATTATATAATTGCATTTTACCTTTTCGTTGTTAATTAATCTGATCTGAAAGTCATTAGAACTCATTATGATTGATTCTCAAATAAAAAAACACGTTAATTTCTAACCTTCGAACATATGTCCGTGGTTGTCACAATTATACTACTATAGTCACATAGTAATTAGCACAAAATCCCGGTACCGGAATACATATATTAATTTTAATAGTAAACAAATATTCGACAACAATACGTTTCATACTTTCGTTTAAATTTTAAACGTGATATATCTATTACTTATTTAGATAATTATTATACATTTTAACGTACAGTTATTGTTGACTTACGTAGTGCTTGTAGCACTTCCGTAAAGGCAAGCTTCGGATCGTTTCGCATGTGAGTTACCTGTCCCAAGTCGGTTGGGATTTGTTTAGTAAAGTACATTTGAAAGAAGTTTATCTCGTTTTATTAGATCACGGAGGATAATGAACGGAGCGATGGCCATGGTAAGTTAATTATTATTGTTACTTTTTGAAAATGTATTGATTCAGTAAACGTAGCAAATCTTTCAGACCATGATGGCGGGTGTAAAATGCTTGTAACGTACAAATGATTAATGTACATGAATAGTTCGATAAAGTTCACAATAGTAATATATTTTTCCAAATATATTAGTAACTTGGTGTTCTTAATGATTCAATCAGTAGTACCGATTCAATCAATAAAGTTACCAATATTTTTCTTTTACTTTTTAAATGTAAACCTAATAAACGGAAGTGTTTTATTTACATATTTTTTTATTTGAATAGTATTTTACATGGTTATAAAATATATTGTTAGCATTACAACGGATGGAATACTAAAATTATATTTAAAATCAATATTATGCATAAACTTATATTTTTAATGTTAATTAAATTGAAGGCAGAAAAGTAACTTAATAGTCAAAGTATTTTGGAATTTTTTTTACTGTTAAACATTTGTTTTGTTGCACATACTTAAAAATATTTTGTATGTTCTTAGGCACCAGCTACCCAGAATAATGTGGAACCTCAGAACAAGAAACCTAAAGTTGAAGGTACATTGCTAATATTGCCAAATAGGTGTATGCCCCTAATCTACACTAATAAATTGTACAATTAAGCGTACAACTGGAAAAGACGGTGAACACAGAAGCAACAGCAAGCATAATATATTTCTAAGCAAAGGAAATGATGAAGAAAAACATATATTATTTACTTAGGACAATCAGGTGCTAGCTTTCTATTAAAATGCTGGCAAGCTATAAGTGTTGAGTGGTCTATTGCAGTTTCAGAATATATTTTGGTAGGCTAGGGTAATAGGTGATCGTTGGCCCTCAATAAAACTAATGTATGGTTGTCCTTTTGTTCTGAGATGTTACAGCGGAGAGACAGTACAGAATCTGTGGCCTACGACTGAGCTGTGATCATGAGCGTGCGCCAAACAAAGAAAGAGAATGCTACATTCGTTGAACAGAACAAATCAGAGTTTTGCAAACTCCTACTGACACAGCATCTATTGTCGAGTACCAAATATGATGCGTATTTTAGATAGGTCAGCATTTTAGGGTAGTCTTCTTTCATCCTAGTTATAAGCCTCTACAAATCATTTGATTAAAATAAAAAGTTGTTTGGAAATATTTTATTTTAAAAGTTTTCATTTTGCCATATGACAAATTGTAAATATCATCTTTGACTTGTGGTTTAATTTTAGAATGTAAAGCATAAAAGGAGAGGCTTATAAATAGGAGGTGCAATGGCGATGTATGTTTTTCAAGTATTCTCAAAATTCGTCACATTTATATCTGTATAATATAAACACGAGGTAAGATATTGCTTTGTTAAAGAAGACATACCTGCTGTAAGCAGATAAGAAAGTTATTGAAGCAGGATATAAAAGACAAGGAAAGTACATTTTTTCAAAGGTCGATCACGTTAGATTTTTTATTAATTAGGATCGCCATTGCTATATAAAACGCGTCAGGGTTAATTGCGTGGTAGGTTGGAAAAGGCAAACTGTAAGAAAATGGCGCAGAAAATGCACTGAGAGTATTCTCCTTTGCTTTGTGCTTACAGATTTGTGCGTCGCCTCAATCTTGGATAGTTTGCGCACAACCATCATTGCTCAGCCCAGAACACGGTTAGCCGTTAATCAAATGATCGAACAAAGCTAATAATATTAATTCGTGAAACTGCAAAAGTCATAAAAGAGAGAAAGAAACGTTTCAACGTGTTCTGATTTCTGTTTCAGAGACTAGCAGACCAAATTGGTTATGATCATACGAAACCTATTCTAGTTATTGGTAGTCTTTTTTTGGGGCTAATAATAGAGTAAAGAGTAATGAAATTGAAATGAAAACGAACTGTTAATACGAACTATTGCAATGGTTTCTCGTAAATTTTGAATTGTGTTCAACAAAATTTCATCATTATTTCTCTTTAATAATACAAAATAATTTTCATCTTAACGGCGTGAAAGGAAAGAAGGAAATTGATCCTTTTTCAAAATATATTTATGTATGAGTATACACGTGTATTGGTGTACACTACTTCACATAAAAGTGTAATCTTCTTGTTCCTGACTATTTTAATTTCTTTGAACTTACAGTTTGGAGGACGGTTCTACCGTGGGAACTACTGCACGGCATCGTTACTTTTTTCGTCTCTTTTTACAACATTTCTTTCACTCCTTGTCCACATTGAAAATTTGATAGACTTATGAAACTTATGCCTACAAGAGTTCTATAGAACAATATACACAGCAAATATTAAATGTTTGTGATTTTAAAGTTAGTCATACATATATTTCGAATTCTGTTTAATTTTAACAAATGATAAAGCTAAAAGTTACAAAACGAAATCTGTATATCTTATATAATTATAAGTACTGTTCTAGTACCTCTATCATCGCAAAGAAAAAGAAAAAGAGAAAGTAAAAACGACATTACTCTGTTTAGTAATACATTGAAGAATTCTTATGTTTGTGTGATGGTGGAAGTACTAAATTGTAATTGTTATTATGTTGCATATTTATCTAATGCCAACTTTCTTCGTAGGAAATGCGTCAGAGTTCTTGCCAGGCCCTATATATGATCTTAATCAAATTGGACAAGTTGTTGCTGGTATGTAAAATTACGATACTATTAGGCTTCTTAATTCAAACCATTAAGATGGTTGATATAACTTAATATATATATGTACATATACATGATGTATAACATAATTGTGACAATTAAAATTTGTTGCTCCGATTCAAGCAATATCGAGAGTCAATAATAATTCAATGGACAAATAGCTGATAAGATCTGACAGAATATAATTTACTGAAATATTTTTCTCATAAAAAATAGTTCGTTTTACATGTAAGATTTATTTTGTTGCAGGACCCGGAGCCAAATATCTTACATTACCCGGCATTCTAGGTGCGGGTCTTCCAAAAATTACGTCTGAACAGCAGGATACAGTAAATAGAGCAAAGAAATATGCAATGGAACAAAGCATCAAAATGGTTTTAATGAAGCAAACCCTCGCGCATCAACAACAGGTAATTATTTAACATGATGCTAACAAACTTTACTCGCCTAACATACATTTTGTATTCCATTGTACATTCATAGATTTCTATGTATAAACGTGTCTGTGTTTCTTTTGCTACTTTCAACATTAGTATAAATAAACCTCGCAACAGTATGATGATGAGCATTCTGTTAGATGTTTTATTAATACAAATGAAACTAATAAAACAATCGGGAAAAATAATAGTAACTAAATTTGCCATACCTATGAATGGCTACATGTTAAAGTGAGTCAACTTTCTAGTAGATTGAGTTGTTCAGTTGAATATTGATTGTTTCTCCGAATGCACAATGGATTTAATGTATACATTTATGAAATCATATATTACAATTATGGGGTTCTGTTTTGTCTCAAAAAGTATTATTTGTTAAAAAGATGGATTTATATTGCTTCCTCTATTTAGCTCTTTGCCAATGATATAACAGAAAAATTAAGGAAAAATGTGTCTATAGTGTTTTAAACTGATGTTTGTCCTTGCAATTTAGCTCGCCCCGCCGAGTAATATTAAATTTTGTTATAAACATATTAACCTGTGTTCGTTATGACGAGCGAGTAAAGTCAAAACATATAACAGAAATTAAAAACGAACACTGGAACCTAACTCTGATCGGTTGATTTTTTCTCCCCGCAGAAGAATAAGTTGGTCCTGCGGCAGCAAGTTTTATTGCTAATGTGCAGGTTAGTGTCAACCAAGTCAAGACAGAAACGATACGAAACCGCCTTACGATCAAACACTCCTAAACGTTTCCCTGAGTTACTACTGTAAGCGAAGGTTAGATATCTTGAGATAGTAGTCGGCGGGAGCAGAGCTGTACCAGCGCGAAGGAGGACAAGTTTTTGTGCATGAATCTCTGGACGATTTGAGAAAAATAATCGATATCTACTTCTGAGCTCGACTATTCTTTCTTTCCTAGTTGCAGAGCAGTTTTCAATGAATATTTGCAATGTATAAACTGTGGTTTGTATTTGGAATTCAATGTTAAAAATTTTAATCATGTTTTGGTTTTACTTTGTTAATGTTGCGTCACGCTTAGAATGCTATTTAATGATTTCATTACGAAAATGTAACCATTAATAACACCCCAGCCATTGATTTAATTTGGAATTTTGAACGTAACACCAAAACTTTGATTGAAAAGAGAACTATGATTTTTAACAATGTGTTCTGGATACAAGCTAAAAATTGAAAATTCGACATGCTTGTTCTTAGTTTCTTTTATGCAGTACAATATTCAGTATGCATATAAACACTATCAATTAGTTTTATATTCATACAGAATTACGCGTGTGAGATGGTAAAAGAAAGAAAAAAAAACGACGAAACGTTGTTTCAAGTAAATTTTGTTATTTAAAAGTTGGTAATATTAAGAAGAGAGTAGTTGAGCGAAGAAGGTGGAATGGTAAAAGAGCTTGGGGGATTTTTGAGATGAACGAGACATGGTGTATGTAAGGGGGAGGGATATCAATAGAAGGCCTATGGTCCTTTGTGTTACAGCAAATGGCTAGTCAACGGAATCAGGTGCAGAGACAGCAGGCTCTCGCCCTCATGTGCAGGTTTGTTTGTTCTTTGTCTTAGCCCTCCGAATTTCATCCTCGAGACTCGCCGTTTTAAGTAGAAGATCATTTTCAATCCTCATATTCTGTATATATACTAAAACTTCCATTCGCTACTCGAATTGGGTCTAGAATGAATTTTATTGGACAAAAATAATTATTTACTTCTTACTGTTGGTGAAATCGAATTTAAACCCGAGCAAAATATTGATAATCTCGTTTAGAATTCTTCCAGTTACAAATTCAAGCTTCTGCTTAAATTTCTATTCGGTAAGATCACACGAGATCTAATCACGTATAACGAATATATTTCTGTATAGTGTATTTACGTGTCGAACATTTCCGAAAGTTCTTTCAACAATTCTGAATTGTTGTTAGATTGGAAAAATATCAGCAAGATTCCTTTTTCTTACGTATTATTCTTTTTCCCAGAGATATGAAAAATTAATTTTATTTTTTACTCAATTTCGCTAAGATAGAGTTTGTGAGTACGTGTTATCGTATAATAGGTAAAAATAAAGAGAAAAAATTTCGTTTGAACGTAACGAAGGGCGATCGTCAACTGAAATAAAATTCCTATATGACAGGGTATATGTGGGCAGCATCAGCTTCGAATTAAAAGAGGACACGATTAGGCAAGCTTTTTTGCCGTTTGGTCCTATAAAATCGATCAACATGTCTTGGGATCCTGTAACGCAGAAGCACAAGGGATTTGCATTCGTCGAATACGAGATACCTGAAGCAGCACAACTTGCTTTGGAACAAATGAATGGTGTCATGATTGGTGGACGTAACATCAAGGTAGCGGGACGTACCTATATAACGAATTTCCTGTCCCCCAGCAATCCTATCATCCCGCCGGAGGTCGGCAAATTTTTATTTAGCCTTATCCAATACAAAATTTACTTTTGATTGAATTGCATTGCACTTATAAAATGCGCTTCGATCAAAAAATCTTGTTAAACTCTTTCCTAACGATTCTATGCTAAATTCTTACCTTAAATTTTCATGGTTTCTCACAATACTATTTTTCGCGTGCTAACAAATTTAACAGATTTTAAACATACGCAATATATATTATTACTAGTATGTTAAAGTTGCGTGCGTTCATAAAATATAACTCCTGGTCCTAATCCTGCTTCCATGTAGTAGTAGCTTCTCAAATATTATCTACCTTCTTTCATAATTCAATTATGTTACTTCTTGACAGATTCGTTACAACAGTATTTTCCTTTTTTTTTTAATCGTCGAAAATATTCTCTCTGAGTTCTCGTATTTTCTTCAGGTTGTGGGGCGACCATCGAATATGCCCCAAGCTCAATCCGTTATAGATGAAATTACCGAAGAGAGTAAACACTATAATCGTATTTACATTGCGTCTATTCATCAAGATTTAACCGAGGATGATATTAAATCAGTATTCGAAGCATTTGGTCCTATCACGTATTGTAAATTAGCGCAAGGAAGTTCACCTCATCGACACAAAGGCTACGGTTTTATCGAATATGAAACAATGCAAGCTGCTTTGGAAGCTATTGCATCGATGAATCTATTCGACTTGGGTGGACAGTATTTACGAGTAGGCAGAGCCATTACACCACCAAATGCTCTTATGGGTCCGCCAAGTGGAACTAGTATGATGCCTACAGCGGCGGCAGTTGCGGCAGCAGCTGCAACTGCAAAGATTCAAGCAATGGATGCGGTAGCCAGTAATGCAGTCGCACTTGGTTTGACCAAACTTGGAGCTGCCGCTCCGCCCATGTTAAACCAAGGTGAGAACTTAAGAATTACTTAGAAAATTTTATATTTCACAACTTTATTTTACTTCGAGACCCATATGTATGTTTGAATATCACTTTCTGTACAGCTTTGCCTGGTATAGTAAGACCCACAATTGCACCTGCGACAATGATGGCACCTCCGACTATAGCAACAGTTACACCTGTTATACCTCCGCCTGGTATAGCTATACCACAAACTTTAACTCGACCTCCGGCGATAATTCAACCGATACCTGGACAGCCAGTTGTTATACCACCTCCAGCTGTGGTTGCACCTACAATAGTAGGAACTCCGGTTGTAAGTCTTTCCTTTTCTTCTTCCTTTGATTTTCATGTATGATCAATGTGAAATATCAATATTATAACTGTTGATAACATGATAAACTGTTTGAAATATCGTCTTATCAGATACCAGTTACAACTGCAACAAATTCCGATATAATGAGGCGGGCACAAGAACAAGCAGCCCATCAAAAGCAACAAGAAGAATTACAGAAGAAATTGTTAGAGGAAACAGAACCACAAACGTTACAGCAACAAGAAAATATGTCAATCAAAGGGCAGAGCGCGCGTCATCTTGTTATGCAGAAACTTATGCGCAAAGTTGAATCGCGAGTTGTTATTTTACGAAATATGGTAGCCCCAGAAGATGTAGATGAAAGTTTACAAGAAGAAATTCAAGACGAGTGTTCGAAATTTGGAGTTGTAGAAAGAGTTATTATTTATAATGAACGACAATCCGAAGACGACGAAGATGCAGAAGTTATCGTAAAAATTTTTGTTGAATTCTCCCAGATGACTGGTAAGTTTACGATATTTTTTTTTTTCGTTTCCATCGATTATAGGTCTCACATTGATATTTTAAATAATACATTTCAGAAGCGGAACGTGCAAGGGATTCTTTGAATGGTCGTTATTTCGGCGGGCGATTAGTAAAAGGAGAACTATATGATCAAGCTTTATTTGATAATAGTGACTTTTCTGGTTGATCAAGAAGTAATTCACTTACCTATTGAATTCCGTCAATTTCTTTCGAACGAAAGAATTTATATCTATCGTTCACTGATGTTCCGCATGTCAACATCCGAAATACTACTTCTTATGAACTTCAACAATTACAGTCTGTTGCCTTCTCATTAAGAAGTCTGGACTTAGGTTTTAATTTTTGCTTCTCTATACGTCTCCGCAGTTGAAATCAGTAGATCAATCAGAACTATTGTCTGTACTTGGTAGAACGATATTTTTAAAAATTATGATTCATTAAAATACGGATTCAAAAAGACTATCAAAAAATAGTTTTGCTCAATGAAAGGTTTAAAGTTGAATAAATATTATTATCATCGAAGTTTCACATGAAGAGGATGGATGTCTTATTTAAATTTAGCATCAACACTGTTATTTTTATTCGAGAAGGATTAATTGAAAACATGCAAAAGGATATATCTAAGTGTATATGCATAGAGATATAGGGTATTAATAAATTGTTTTATGCATAGACTATACCTCGTATAAATAATACGTGCATAAATTATATGTCATAATACAAGTGTATGTTACAATAAAGTTTGTACATATTTACTAGATATTTTATTAACGTTAAACATTCTAAAAGCATACGGCTATTTATTTATTTTTTCACATTTATCTTGTAATCTTTTCCCGGGTTTTTGTATTCTTCAAAAGTTTGAAACGACGTTTCTTTTGTGTTTTGAGTAAGTAACTTTGTATCTTCCAACTTATCACTTAAATATTTTGCTTTTATTTTTTCAGCATTTTCTTTTTTAATTAATTGCATTTCATAGTTTCTTTCTATTTCTTCTTTTGTCGGAGGATGTTTCCTACGATGTCTTAACCATGCTTCCCATTCTGCAGGTAATTGTTGTTCAAAATCAGTTTTATTTGTTGGCTCAAAATATCGGGCTGAATACTTTCTTGAGACATTTTCTGAAGGTGGTATTTCATAATATTTTGTACCATAATAATCTTCACCCATTAACTTAGGTCTTCTGAATATATTTGGTTTTAATGAGTTAATAAAACTTGTAAATATCATTTTAAATAGACTTCGTTCCTTTCCAGGCATATCCACTTCTGTATTAAAACAAATTCAGATCAAAATTAGTAAAAAGTAGTTAGTCAAAAAAGGTAGAGTCTGCACTCTAAATTTGTACTTATTTACTTAAATAAATGTAATTTTGATTAAGCGTGTATTTATACTAAAATCTTTCGATATATGAAAATTATTTTTATCTAAAAAAAATTAAGTATAATTAAAACTTACCGTTCACAGTGTATGTTCCAATGTATGCTCAGATGTGGCACAAATGTATATTTATTCAAATATATTAACAAAAATAGGTTATACGCTTTTGTGTAGCAGGTTGTGTAACATTTATAATAGCAGTTACATTATAACCTAACCTAAGTAATATTATAACTCCTATTGGAAAGATTAAGAGGAGCAAAATGGTTATTTGTGCACGTTATATTGGTGGTCCTGGAATTCCTATTCAATTCCTATTCGCTATATTCAAGGTATCCACTATTGATATAATATTAATTTCAAAAGAAAGTTTCTTTTCGAAAACAATCTAAAATTTCTTACTTTCTTGTTTTATGTTTAATGTTTATATTTGACTTGCTTGATATTTGTTTTAATGACATTTTATTACGGTGTGTAGAGTAATATATTCATGGAAGATAAGTTCTATTATTTTTCACATGCATACAATTTTGTTATAATTTCACTTTCCTATGTTACAATGATTTTTATTAAATTGGAAATATTAATATATCCCAGCTAAACGTGACATAAGTAAAAACTGTTATCTATAGAAAAAATTAAATTTTGATATGCTGTAAATAAAGTATTACGTTATTGTTACAGAATGATTCAGAATAATGTTAGATTCATGAAATTCCTGTTGCATTGCAAAACATAACATTGCTTCACAATAGCACTTAATAAGATTATATTATTTAGAAGGCTTCCGTAACTGCAAGGATACATCGTGAAATCAATTCTATAATTTAATATAATATGTGCTTAATTTTTATATGTGTAAACCGATTCCAGTATACGTATGAGATCACTATAATATAAAAATGTTATAATTATAAAAAGAAACCAAATGTTTGCATTGAAATTTTATAAAATATAAATTGTCGGTATATATATTACATATATGTATATATAAGTAAATCATAAATTTTGTCAATCATTGGGTAATTATAGTTAATTCTTGAATGACAATTAATAATTTTAACACTCATTGTCATTAGGGATGTTTCGCGAAAAACGTCGACTTTTTTAAAATACGTGTAGTTTTGGAAAAAATGCATTTAAGATGTATTTGTAAGTTAGAGAACCTCTTGCAGAATACAGGCACACTTGCCGATTGATTACGTCACTTCCAGGCGTGGTACAGTACAATGTGTGATGTGCGTGTGTTACTGAAAATGGCCGTGTACGTACGGGTCCGTATAGTTTGCTGATTTCACGATAGTTTCCACATTCTTTCTAATATTGAAGTTTGAACAGTGGATTTTTCGACGGTACATGTAGTTTGTGAGATCGTGTAATACGAAGATTTTAGTGGGTTGTCGATGGTTATAAACCGAGACGAAGTGTGCCCATTTCGTCAACGGTGGATCATTAAAAGAGAAGGTGAGCAGAGGATGTCTACAGATTTTTTTTCAAAAATCGTATTTTTGAAGGGGGAAAAATCATAGATACTCTTTGTTTTATTGCTGATTCAGGGATGTACTTGTGTCACTGCTTTGTATCAGTAAGATTAAAACATTCTTTTACGATTTATCAGACTTTCAGTTAAAAGAAATACGTCGGCTTGCCAGATTACAAACAGCATAGATGATTTTACAGAAAATTATATCATTCACGTTCGAAATGTGTAGATGCGTTGCCTTCTATTATAGTTCTCAGTTTAAATATTAGACGTCTTTTATTTGATTTGATTTTGGCAAACTTCATCTTCGTTGCATATTTTCAACACGTACAAGGCGGGGAAAGTGTATTTACAAAACGATGGCGGACAGACACGGCTGTAGATTACTTGTCAAAATTGTGTCAACCTCGTGACCGCCAATTTTGACACTTTGAACAGCTTTCTGTTCTCACGGTGTTTTTGGCATAAAAAGTTTCTCGATGCTGTTTCACTGTCGATATTATATTCTTTATTCAGGACATAAATAAAATTTTCTATAAATTGTTAGGCCTCTTTTAGAGGCAAACAGACAATTATTCATACAAATATATAAATAATACGCGTCTAATAAACGTATATCACGTTTAGAAATATCACATTTGTTATACTTATCTTTATGATATCTAATGTTGTTATTATAAGTGGTTTATCTGTGCTCTTGACATAATCTATTAAATGGTTAATGTTAAATTATTAAATTATTATCATCATGGTAATTATAATATGTATATATGTATAAATTATATTTCTGAATCCTTAATGTTTTTTTAATTGTATTCTCTCCTTCTAAAAATATGCAAAATTATATGTGTGTGTGTGCGTGTGTGTGTGTGTGTCAGTAATTCTTACATTTAATCTTAGTTTCTATATGCTTAATCTAAAAAGCAATAAGCATTATCAGTTTAATATTCTCTCTCTCTCTCTTTCTCAGCGCGTGTAGAGAAAGAGAGAGAGAGAGAGAGATTAGAAGAGATGTTATAATTATATCATTGTAATTTTTATTAACCTTTTCTTTATTTCAGCTTTGTATACATTAAAAGTGAAAGTGGAAAAATATTAATAATGGGTTTCAGCCTTTGTATATGCATTATTACCTATTCAAACAATATACCTATTAATTAGTAACTACCGACTATAAGTTATCAAGATGTGGGAGAGATTTGGTACAATCCCCTGGTGTGAAATGGGGATTTGAACAAAATCTTTCTTTATGAAACATTTTCTATCATTGTAGAAAATATGTTAAAATGATGGAAAACATGCAAGATTATATCTAAGAGGAAAGATGATTTTATGCATCTTATAATCATTTCATGTAACAATGAAATATTTGAGCACTGCATAAGATTAGTGTTTAAATGCAGTATTAAGATACATATTTGTTGCTAATGGTAAACATTATCAAGTCTTATGACATAATGTAATAGAAGTATAGCTTTGATATATGCAATTATAGTAATTAAGTATTGCCAAAATGTCATTCTTATCGAATCTAAAGAAAGCATTCCACTTTGGTGGAAATGATGCTAAGAAAAAGAAATTATATAATAATATTAAAATGGATTGTAACCCAGAAGAATTCTGGGAAATGATAGGTGAATTGGGAGATGGAGCATTTGGTAAAGTTTATAAGGTAATATTTTATGCAAATTCTGCATTTTTCCAAATGTAATTGTATACTTTATTCAACCAGTATTGTACTTTTCAGGCACAGCATAGACAAACTCATCAGCTTGCTGCTGCAAAAATGTGTGCATTAGAGGGAGAGGATGATCTCAGTGATTTTATGATTGAAATAGATATTTTATCAGAGTGCAAACATCCAAATGTTGTTGAATTACACGAAGCATATTTTATTGAGAGCAAGTTATGGGTATGTTTTACAATTATAAGTACATTTATAAATTTATCATTTATATATTATAATTAACATTTGTGTCATTTTATTAATTAATTTACAGATGTTAATAGAATATTGCGACGGTGGTGCTGTTGATTCCATAATGGTTGAGTTAGCGAAAGCTTTAACAGAACCACAAATAGCTTATATATGTCAACATATGACCAAAGGTCTTGCATTTTTACACAAATCTAAAGTGATTCACAGGGATTTAAAGGCAGGAAATGTTTTGTTAACAATGGCTGGGGGAGTGAAAATAGGTAATCTTTATCCTTAAATTCTAAGATGTACAATTATGTAGTATTTTGTATGTAAAGAGGAATTAATAAATTTCTAAATTCACAGCTGATTTTGGGGTGTCTGCAAAAAATAAACACACTTTACAGAAACATGACACATTTATTGGAACACCATATTGGATGGCTCCAGAAGTAGTGTTATGTGAAACATTTAGGGATAATCCTTATGATTTTAAAGTAACCAATATATCCTTAAATTATGAACCTTTTCATGGTAATTAGTATTGTTTTATATTAATATGCATTTTTTCATATACAGGTGGACATTTGGTCGCTTGGCATTACTTTAATAGAATTTGCGCAAATGGAGCCGCCAAACCACGAAATGTCCCCAATGCGCGTGCTTCTTAAAATCCAAAAGAGCGATCCACCGAAACTTGATCAACCTGGGAAATGGAGTAAAGATTTCAACGATTTTATTGCAAAAGCTCTTATAAAGGATCCAACATCGCGACCGACAGCTGACGAATTGTTGAAACATTCATTCATAAATCGTAACTTGGATTCAAAACCGATCCGAGATTTGTTACTGGAGTATAAAGCCGATGTCGTTGAAGAGGAATTGGTGGATGAAGAAACAGAGGTAATTTTTAATTTTTTCCTATTAACTGTTTCAAATTTTTCTTTTACACCTAACAACAATAAGAAGAAGCGTGGATACAAAAGTCAAATAAATGTAATTTTTCTGTGCGTAAAAATTTCGAAGTGTCACACACGAGGAGCATTTTTATTGTAATAGCACACAGCGATTTTTTAATTCATAGCAATGTACAAAGCTTTATAAACAGAATTAACATGTATATACGTTGTTACACGCTTTCGTTTTGATAGAAGGCCAAAAAGGCGAAAAAACACAGAGAACAATATCAACGGATTGGTAAGCTGCTTTTGAATAAAACACATCAATTGTACAAATTTGCTAGTCGTTTTTACGCAATCGGAAAATGAAGAATATACGTTTGTATTCAGGAAATTCATCATGCTCATGATGAAGTATTTTTGTATGTGTTCTTGTAAATTTTTAATAAATTACATCTCATTTTCATAAGACACACAACCACACTGTTATATTTATGCATGGTAAATATGCGCGTAAGATTTTAAGAAATCTCGTGCATGTGTCATACATGATGATTACATTATGCTTCTTTCTTTTAATTTGCACAATTAATTTAGGTATATACCTGAATTATTATTATATTTATCATTTGTTGTGTATAATCATTTAAACTGATAATTTTATAAGATTTCCCGAAATTTTTTCCTCGTTTATTCCCTTTTAATATACAATCTAATGATATCCTAATAAATATGTTATTGTAATTTGGATAATTTGGCTGTGCATGCGGCTCTCCTGGGCCTCGCCAGCCCCATCATCCCTGCGTTTGTCAGGTCAGTGGCTTATGCGATAAGTGCTGTCTAGTTTGATTTTAATGTATTTCGTTACACGTTATTACAAATTTTTTGCTAACTTTGTTCCGTTTTGTACAACTGTAATGCATAAGCTATTTTCGATGCACTTTATGTACAAACAATTAAACAGAATATTTCTCGTTGTATTAAGTTGTATCGAGTTGCACCAGTAGTGCTTATAAATACATTTCGATAATCGATCTGTAATCTCATCCTACTATTTCATATTCATATAGACTAATGTTTCGTTTATTTTATATTATCCAAATAGTTTTCAAACTTTGTACATTTCATAATAGTTAGAAGTTGCATTTATTATTAATCCGTGTATTATAAGACGTAAATGTGTAAATTATATTTTTTCTATTTACACATTGTACATATAGCTAACACAACAAATAAAAATTTCAGGAGCAACGCACGTCTCAGCTTCCTCTGGAGCTGGATCAACTCGGAGATGACTCTGCGTCTATGCGCAGTGACGCTGATGTTAAGAGTAAATATATCTTTTACGTTTATGACACAAGAATTAGATATCAGTGAAGATTACGATAAATTAATCGTGCTGGTTTTTCGTTAGTTTCTGAAAAGGAAAATCTTGTCGCATCGCCCGTGTCTACGAAAAAAGAAGAAAGCCATAAACGAGAGATTAATAGAGATGGCGAAAAGGAGGACAGGAATAAGAAATTACGTAAAGCAGAATCTAAAGACAACATACCAGTTTCTGTTGAGAAAAAACAAGTACTTCACTTCTTTACTGTTTAATCGATCGTTGATATTTTTGTATAGACGGCGGCGATAATATCGTAACTTGAATTTTAGGCACCTAAACCTCCTAGTACAAATGAAACGAACGAACGTAGGGTATCTCGAGAAAAGGGTCCGGCGCCGCTGCCACCGCTTATACGTCAAAACAGCAAAAACGAGGACAAGGAAAACAATTTGAAGATTGCTAATAAACAAAGTGACGTAGAGGAGGTGTTAGAAGGATGCAAGATGTTCGATAAACAGCAGCGAGATAAAAACGAATCGCTGCAGTCGAGTGAAGAAATGGTAGATAGGGAAGGAACAATAAATATAGACACGTTGTGCGAGAAGTCACACGTATTAGACAGTTTAGAGAAAATTGCGTCGGAAAGTAACGAAAGAGAGAAGAGTAAATTAGACGATACGAACAGAGGTGAGATCAGGCAGAAGTCGGTAGATAGTAAAGGAAATTCATCGTTGAGAACGCAGTTAACTTTAGAGGAGAAGAGGAAATCTGCACCAGTTAAATCAGAATTAACCGAGGACTGGATGAAGCCAGTATTCAACAAGCAATCGTCTTTAGAAGAAAAGAACAGGTACATAGATATCCGTACTTTCACTTGTTAACAATTATTTAACGAAGATGTTACTAACAGGAAGAATATTTGATTGCAGACTCGAAAAGAAGACATCGGTGGATGTACAGGTGAAGAGACAATCTTCGATAGAAGAAAATTATAAGAGTTTAGAAGAGAAACGAAAATCTGTGGAGGACAAGCTAAATGCGGTTTTAGAAAAACGATTTTCTATGGATACCGAAATGCGTATGAGCGTTTCATCCATGGAGACATTATCTCACCGAGAAGTTTCGAATGCGATTACATCTGAGAAAAATATCGTTAAGGCTTGTTCTACCGAAAACGTTAAAACGGATTATGGAACGTGTAAACCAGAATCTGTGGTTAAAAGTCACAGCGAAGGATCTTCCAGGTATGTTTCGTTGGAAAATTTTTCGGATGAATTTGAGGGAAAACGGGAGCAGAAGAAGAAGAAGTGGTCAAGTAAAGAACAGAATTACGAGAATAGTGCGAACAACGGCGACAATGGAAACAGTGAAAAGAAAGGTTCTTCCGTGAACGTATCGGTGATCACATCAACTCCCATTAGAAGTAGAAGTACTTCGAGAAGAGGCAGCGGTGACAATGTGGTTGTCATTACCGGTAAGCGTACAAAATAAAATTCATTACTCATTATAGGGGGGATAATTTTGCATGGCGGGGTGAATAAACGTGGTTTGAACTTGTAGGTAAATCCGACCAAGAAATACGTCCAAACACGTCAACCGTCCGGATCACAGCAGATAGTCCAGATTTATCTAATAGTCTCGCGAGTAACGTAAGCCAAGTGACAGTGGTGACAACGCATCCTCCGGTACTTGTCGACGCTGTGTCACCGACAGTGCCTCCTCTTTCCTGTCGTCCATCCCCTACGTCGGAAGTTGTTATCGTCGCAAACGAGTTGAATAAAACTCAGGTGAACGAAAATTCGACCGACGACGATGGATTCCCTAGTTTAGACAGTTTGGAGTACACGCCTCAGGAGCAACCCATCATTTTTACCGACGTTTCAAAGAGAGTTGGCAAGAAGTTAGACGAATCCGAGGTTCTGATCGTGAGTCCGATCGTAGACGAATTACAAGATACTAGTCACGTTTCCGTGGTTACCGTCGGTGACGACAAGGAACAAGTGAAAGATTCCTCGGTACTTAATAAACACGACACCGTACGAACGTCTTCCTCTCACAGCGAAGCAAGTCTGATTGAAAGGTCAAGCACAAAGAGTGACAGCGGGGATGAAATTACTAAAATGATGGTCGCTGGAACGACCGTGGAATCGGTGGATATCGACGGGGGGATGGAGAGAAACTCGAAAAAGATGAACGGTCTGATAAAGAACGACAAGTCGACGAACGTCGTCGGTCGTATGGACGATAAAGTAATAAAAACGATGAAACAAAAGGAAACGAACAAGGGATACAAGGAGAAGAGAGTGTCTCCGGATAGTTTCGAAGGGTCTAGATCTCAAAGCGAATCTGGATCGACGAGGTCGCATACGCCTAGCAAGAGTATAGATCGGTCCGACGCCGAATCCATTTCCACGACGATCAGCCAGGATAGCAGGGAATCAAGCAAAGAGAATCATTTGAGTCAAGGCCAGTCTACGGAAGTGGAGGAGGAAGTAGTGCTGCGACGGAAGCCCGATTATAATCGCGATATACAGCGGCCGACTAAGACGAAAGAGGATATTCAGATGATGAACTTGAAAAAAAAGACGAGGAAACGGACGAGAAAATTCGAGATCGACGGAGTTGTAGTTACCACGACGACGTCGAAGGTGATCTACGGTGACGACGAGAACGGAAAGGTCTACGACGACCAGATCTTCAGGAAGCAAGAGCTGAGGGAATTGAAGATGCTACAGAAAATGGAACAGAAACAATTTCAAGATTTAACGCTGAAGGCACAGTTCAACAAGGATCAACAAGAAAAGCGTTTCGAACAAGAGAGGCAGCATCTGGAACGTAACGCGGAAACCGATTTGGAGACACTTGCCCGGCAACAGAGGCAACAGATCGAGCGTGCGGAAGCGCAGCAAGAGGCTGATCTTAGGCTTGCTTCGAAGAAAATTCGTGGCGAACAGGAAAGGGAATTGAAACAGTTCCGCGATGGATTGAAGCAGGAATTGAGATTGCTGAAACAAGAGGTGGACCTGATGCCGAAGGACAAAAGGAAGAGCACGTTTAAAATACGCAAGGAGAAATTGGAGGCTGAACACGAGGAAAGGGAGAAACACTTTTTAGATAAACTGAACGAAAGCCACGAATTATCGCTGAGAAGATTGTCCGATAGTCATCGGGAGAAAATAGCCCTAATGGAAAGGCAATTCTTACAGCAAAAGCAACAATTAATGAGGGCCCGAGAAGCGGCGATTTGGGAGCAAGAGGAACGGCATATCCACGAGAAGCAGCAACTGTTGAAGAAACAGCTGAAGGATATTTTCTTTTTGCAAAGACATCAAATGTTGATTAGACACGAAAAGGAATTGGAACAGATGAAGAGGATGAATCAACGGAAGGAGGAGGAGCTGATGAAACGGCAAACGGTCGAACGTAGAAATTTGCCGAAGAGGATTCGCAACGAGATGAAGGCACGCGAAATGATGTTCAGGGAATCTATGAGGATTTCCATGTCGTCGGTTATCGTACCGGATCCCGATGCTGAAAGGGAGAAATTGAAAAAGTTCCAAGAGAACGAGAAAAAACGGTACAGGGCTGAACAACAGAGATTCGAATTGAAGCATTCGCGACAGTTGGAGGAGGTAAGGGCGCAAAGCGACGCCACTATCAAGGAATTGGAACAGTTGCAGAACGAAAAGAGGAAGATGCTGATGGAGCACGAAACGTTGAAGCTAAAAGAGTTAGAAGAGGCGTACACTAAAGAGCTTCGTGAATGGAAAGCTCAACTGAAGCCTCGAAAGCAGGTAAATCAATATCGTTGTTTCTTTTCTTTTTCTACTTCTCTGTAGTAGTATTATTCACATTTCGCTCGCGTAGTCTTTCTTTTCACTTGATACCGCGATTTTTATATTCTTTCGCCGTTCAGTAATTTTTTACCCTTCGTACAATATTTATCTTTGCTTGACGATTACGCGCGCAGCATATAGTCACAGGCTTCCGTTTCCTTTCGTTACACACGATGACCGATCACACCGGGAGCGGGAAGAGATACGAATCTATTCTGATACGATTCTTATTTAAACTCAACAGTCATACTGAAATAAGCCTCTTAATGTACTTGTTATAGAAGTTAGAAGCTGAACTGACGACTGATATGGAAGCGTTGGAAGCTCATTACCGAGACTATTTGCCCTCGGGTCTTAGTGGTCTCTCTTCTCCCCCTTTAGACTATTCTCTCTTTAATTTCGAATCCTGGAAGAAGTCCCCACGTTTACCTCGTTCTACTCCAACATCACCCTCTCCGTTTACCATTCCAAGGGTGACGCTAAGAGTTGGTGGCTTGGACGCCGCTTCCGTGAATGGCATGCTTTCACGAAGTCACTCCAAACCAGACTTAGTGCCATCTCCTTCGTCTCGTAGACAGTGAACTCGTACGAAAGTCCTATGTTTCTCACCCCTTCCAATTATTTTCTTCCTTCGGGGAAACTTGGAAATCAAAATCTTTTGCATTTTTTTTCTCTTTCTTTTTTCTTTCTTCTTTCCCTCATTTCCAAGTTTCTCCCGTTAAATTGTGTCTTATGCATTCACATGTGTAACATGCCCGCTTTACTCACCGTTGCTTTAATCATTTAGCAATGTTTATCGTATATGTATACAAATGTACATGTATATACACTCACACACAGATATACACACGTACGTTTAATATATTTTTGCATAACCAAGTTCAAAGGTAGAATATATATTTTGGCTTACATGGAATAACATTTGAATAAGTAATAATATATCGTAAACGAACGATTAATTTCAAACGCAAGTTTGCTTGTAATTTTTGGGTAACGAAAAGACCAACGAATGTAAAAACTTCGTACCCGATAGGAGCTTGTTACTGTTAGCTGTTATTAGGGAAAGTGTATAGTTTCGTAAGCATTGAATATTACATTGTGCACTGTTAAGTTACGGTGATGTTTATTGTCCACGCACAAGGGTATTCGCATTCAATTCTCATCTTTTTGTTTTTTCTTTTCTCTTCTCTCCCTGTACGGATAGTACTTTATGCTTAATCGGACATATATCGTTCGTTGTATTATCGATAACATATGTAAGTGAACGTCCGCGTTTTCGTATAGCAGCTTTACAATGGTTAAATAAAAGTTTATAATAGGGGTGAATCGGTGATAATTGTGGGCTATATGTTGTGTACTCATCAGACGTAGCGAATTGTACGGTAAATGCTTGCACACATTCGGGGGATCTCATATACATAAGTGTTTCCCAATGTGTACGTTTAGATTACATTATATTCCCTTTCGTTAAAAACCCAATAGAACAGACAATATGTCGGGAAAGAGATTCCACGACTGGATATCAGAACGATCTACTAGGTAATGGAACAAGGTCAGTTAAAAAAAAAGTCCGTTGATGCGAGTATAGAGTAAATAGAGTAAAAAAAGAAAAAAAATAATTAAGAATAAATCAACACAGAATTAAATCTCTTTAATTCTTTGAGTAGTAGGAGTGTCAACGTTTCTAACGGTTAATTCACAGCTTACGGATTGCGATGTGCGTTTATTCTATTGTAAAATTTGTATTTCTCCTTTACAGAAACTGGAAGAACAATTCGCGTTGCAATTAGAGGAACAAGAGGCTATTTACGGGCCAAGCGCTATACCATTGTGCTTACCTGTAGATCTTCCCGATTTAACGCATCATACGGCTGGTTCAACACGTAGTTCGCTTTCTTCAGTGAGCGAGGGTTAACGTTTAATTTATCCGTTATCGAATCTTGATCTGGATCTTCCAAAATGATTTCCCCTCCCCGTAAGAATAAGCGAGAGTCGAGTATAAAACAGCTGGAGGTGCTTAGGTAATTCGAAAATTGTCGAGCTTGTAGCTGTTTGCACAGTAATCGTTCGGACCTTGGAACTAACGCCAGCGAATAATGAGCTTTACTTGTAAAAGAATACGATTGAAGGCGCACAGGGCGTGATTACTCTGACGATCGATTGTACACGTATGTAATTTTTTCTATAAATTAATAGAATTCCAACGATGGATGGATAAATTAGGTCTGCGAGTATCGTTTTACGCAGCGATCTATGCGATGGCCAAACAGCGAAACTACAAGAAAAGTTTCACTATTTTTAAAGAGGAATAAGAAGAAGAAGAAGAAGAACAAGAAGAAGAAGAAGAAAAAGAAGAAGAAGAGGAAGAGGAAAAAGGAAAAGAAGAAGGAGGAAGAGGAAGAAAGAAAAGAAAGTCAGTTTTCTTATCCAAGTTATATTTTCTCTATGTCAAATACGAATTGTTACGTGGAAAAATGTAACGAATTTCTTACGGCGATATTGTCGAAAATATACCGCCTGGTACAATCTACGTAGAATCCGCCCGATGATCGTTCCGCCTGAGAACTTGGAAGGAGTTCTCGGGGCTTGTCGTGTAACGCGGCTAATCGTCGTGTACGTTAGCCTACGATAAATCAATTTTTTCTATACCTTATACACGCATGTAATATCGAAGCTAGAAGTCGAATCTATCGTCAATTCTATCGAGGATACATGTGACTGGTGTCTAGCGTGTTCGTTGAATGCCTAGAGATTTTATACGTACGTAATGCACACGTGGAAAAAGTATATTTTCGATCGTGCGAGTATACAATATATACATATACACTATAGTACTCTACCATGCTTGTTGTCCTCTCGTGGTGGATGCTGTGGCATAGGAAGAATCTGCGAGTATTTCGTCGGTTTTCTTTGCACTTGATCGGCGAATCGAACGTCGTCGTATAGGTCGTAATTACTGCGCGTGTTCTATATGGACACATGCAGTTCAGATGCAAAAAAAAAAAAAAAAAAAACGCTAAAAATTTTCACCGATAGATTGTCTTTTTTTTCTCTCTTTTTTTTTTTATCGAGATACGAATATATTTTTAGTAAATAAACGTTCAACACTACGAATCAAAGGTTCACGCCAAATATACATATATACAAGGTATGATTGCTTATTGCGCGCGCTATATAGTCCGGCGGCATTGTAGAGAATCTCTTTTTAAAGCGCATTCGAAACGAGCATGTGTGACTAACGCGCGTCCTAGATGTAAAGAGGCATATATTTGTATAAAATATTTCCTTTCGTTTCTCCCCTTCTATTCTCTTCAGTTTTTTTGATTGTACAGTGCATGATATGAACTTTTGTAATTTTGTCTGTTCACACGTTGTTAATCTATCGGGTAGCGTGGTTAGTACGATTGTCGAATAAGGAACTTTGTATATAGAGAATCAGGACGAATTGTTTGATATATTTTGAATAGTCTGCATCATTGTACGAGAAGAATATTTACGACAAATACGTGAAAGCGATTCACTTGCCCCCCCCCTCCCCCAGTTTCTTGCGAGTCACCACGTCAGATTTCCCGACGTTACGTCTAACTCGAGGGAAATTTGACTCTGTATCTTTTCTTCAACTTTCGCTCGAGTTCTTTTTTTTCGTCTGAGATATGCGTAAGTAACGTTAAGATGTTCGTTTGATGAAAAAGAAAAGAGGACGTTTGCCAAAGCACATGTACATACATACATATTATATTCTTGAAACGTTAGGAGAGTTTGGGAATATAACGGAAATGTACGAGGCACGATACGATTAAAAAAAGAAGAAAAAGAAAAAAAAAATTCCCTAATACTGCTGTTTATCGAATTCTGTCGAGGGTTTACACCGTTTTTCTATTCGTTGACAGAACAGAGATATCTCCATGTATCGCGATGATTCTTTTTAGGAATTCTTAGGGATGACCATTCGCGTGAGAAAAATTCGGGAAATAGTTCCCTCTGATATATTCATTCGTCTTATTTATAAATGAACAGAGATCGATAAATATGTATGTAGGTCGAGTTTCCGGCAGCGGCGATGGGAATTCGAGAGCGTTTAAATTACGAAGAATTTTACGTAGGTTTATAACGAATTGAGTAATTTTTTTAGATGTTAAGCACGTGTGCATTGTACGCACGAATTACTGCAAATGACGAACAAATGGAGGAAAAAGAAAGAAAGAAAGAAAGAAAGAAAGAAATTATCGCAATAGCCTTAATTGCAGTTTTGGTTAGTCGATCGCGTGCGTTGTATATTCGATCGAAGATATTTATACTACGACGATTAGAGCGTGGAGTGATGTAATGTAAAGAAGAAACTTGTCGGCGAATCGAATGAATTATATCGATTCGCACGAGTAGTCAACGTTAGCATTGTTCTTTTTATCTCTTTGTCTCTTATTTTGTCGAGTATTTCTTCGGACGCGTTCTTAATTATTGTACGTACAGTATTTAAGCATACGAAACTGTTTGTTATAATATTTTTTTTCTTCAATTTCTACCCATTACAGGAATTTCGTTTTCGCCTATATGTTTGACACTGAATCGTATCTCGGCGTGTAGGCGCATACTTATATATACATATGTATATGAAAGATTAATAGACTGAAAACGGAGTAAAAGGGAAGAGAGTCGAGAGAGAGAGAGAGAGAGAGAGAGAGAGAGAGAGAGAGAGA